AGATTTTATAAAGTGAATCTAGAATGTTATTAAAGGTATAAGGAAGCACTTGATGTTCCTTATGCGGAAGGGACACACCCCGTTGCCCAAAACGGTTAAACGTTAATGTTATGGCAGAATTGTCCTAAAATCCTTCGGAAATTTTAAAAGTTTTCAAAACCTGATCATTCCTTTTGCCCGGGTATACAATCTGAGGAGGACATGAAATTTCGCAAAATGAGAACAGAAAGCGTATACTGTGCACGTTTTTTATAGTGTACTTGCGAAATTATAAGACTACGAAAAACCGATTGAAACAATACTCATTAAATGGCTATTTGTCATCGAGTAAGATTTTACCAGAGGGTCGAATAGAAGCGCATTTAAATGTCAGTATCCTGTTAAAGCGGATAAATTATGGAATTGTGCCGCTTGATAACCAATATAACAGTCCCAACTTTCAAATCAAAAGCGTCTTTCAGAATTTGGCTAAGTTTTCAATGAAATATGTTACTAACCGTACTGTATATCATTAATGCAATATTGGTATGGTACTCGTCCACAATTTACAAGCGAGTGCTCGAATTTAATGTATCCGCTCTGTTCCTCCGAACATTAACCATCCCTACCTGAATTTTTATCCTATGAAGAAATGCTAGCATTATGTATTTCCCTATTGCCGATTTTCGCTAATTGGGGGCAGGTTACATTTGAGGTTAAGTCACGGGTTGTTGTGATGTGATCAAACGTCATCGGCTAAATTTATAGCGGCATCTCAATAGCTTACTTGTCTCCTCTGCAGATAGCTCCGCTCAGACATGAAACGCCAAAAATGCCTTTTTTAGACAGTTTGACAGATGCATTCAGATATTTAACAGCGACCTCTTGTCAGGAAACAATTTTAGTTGTGAAAACCCCTATAGCTATATTTAGAAGTCAAAGTGGCGAGCGAACGTTGCTTTCGATAATTTCTCTTCAGGCCGGTACAGTTATATGAGAAGGGGTTGCGATGAGTGCCTGGATTACGTTTTTGTTGGAGAGGTACGGAACTAGTGAAGTTCGTGCTATTTTATAATTAGGTCGAAATAAATGAACGTTGAATATTATCATATCCGTCAAAAAGTGTCATCGTACTCTCAAAGAACCTCTCTTCTCTCTCTCGAATAAATCCACTAGTGTTGGCAGAATGTCCCTTAGAACGTCAAACGTATTCCTTGGCTATTAGCATCTGTGTATCCGATTTCATCCAAGGATAAAAGTGAGTTTTCCTTATTGTAAATAGGACTTGTGATGACATAAATATTTGGTGTAGACAGTAAAAATGGCCAGTATGTGACATGCACCGTTGTTGTGGATTCCTAATTTTGATGAAACGGTGACGTGTGTATGCTTTCTTGTGGTATAATCTACGAAGTGTACTTAGCTCTGACGAAACCAAGTCGTCACTGTGAGCAAGCACAAAACGACGGTCTCCTAAGCATTTCTTGTCCTTACGCCCAGACATAGACAGAGGTTGCTTGTGCAGATCTACTTTACTTCCTAAAATAATGGCGTGTATGGCCTCGATCTAGCTGTCCGGTGCGATTTTATCTCCAGATTATCTGTCATCAGTTGGAACCGCTGTCATTTGGAATTGCAGAACCGCTCCATGTTGCCATCAGCTACAGTCAAGTGCCAATATATTCGTATCAAAAATTTCTTTAGGCATAATGCCCGAGAACAATGGGTACAAACTTTGGGAAAAGACTTGCCGAGAGTATCGTTAAATGTGTGTGTGTGTCAGATTAAACAACAGGCTAGGCAGAAATTTAGGAGGTAAAACTATTATATTGTGAACTGGTCAAAAAATTTTAACATTGCTTGCTCTGTCGCTCTGTAGCAATACATAACGTCAATAGCCATTTTTAAGATAAGGCAAAAGGGCCTGATATAATATCACAGAAATTCCGGTTAACGTGTTTTTTTCAAAGTCGTCATAACTTGAGACCACATAGTAAATTCGCGTTTATTTTAAAAGTTTAAAACTCTCATGATTCATAACAAAATGCGGTTTTATAAATACTATTACGCTAACACTCCCGGAAAAAAGGCCTGTTAATAGCGACAATTTCACATTTTCGTTTGAAGCACTAATTTACTTCTGGACATTAAGGCGCTTACCGACAACTGCAGGGCAAGACAAACACATATTAACTGCATGATGCCTCCACATGCAATTATCTGCCTTTCGACCTAATTATACCGCAGATTTTTGAACTACATCACCGCTTACAAATGTCTACAAAAACGTCAGCCAACTAACACAACACTGCTTTGCATCAGGAAAGCGTTTAAATTAGTGTTGCAATCTCTGAATTCAAGAAGCAAAATCAGTGGCTGACCACATGGATGTCGCAGCCATTTAAATATTTTGTTGGTTTTCAGTGATGTAAACGGAGTTCGTCATATTTTTTAAATCAAAAGCCACTGTTCATGCTGCTAAATGAAGCCTACTTTATGTTTCACGATGTGTGTTATAAGAGATTGCGATGCCACCAAGACATATGGGACCTGAAAAGCGTTTTTATATTATTGAATTATCTTTTTTATTATACTTTGAGCCGAGTATTCGTCAATCCTATCGAACGAGTGCTCATTGTTAAATTTCTATCCTTTAGACTCGTTGGCGTTTATGTGGCATATATTCATACAAGAACAGTAAAATCCCGTCGTATTTTCCAACACAAACGTATAACAGAACGGCGAAGGTCAGAAACATCCTCCTTCAACAAATGTCCAAAAGGCAATGGCTAGATAAAACCGTTGAATTGCTAAAACTAGAAAACAAATCATTGTTACAGGATCAGATAACTTTCCCAGTAAGGTTTAATCACAAGGGCTCGGAGTTTGCGGTAGCGCAAATACACCATCTATATTTTCACAATTATGATTTTTAACTAAAGATTGCACTTTTGCCGAGTTTTTTGTAGGAATTAACGGCCTTTTTCTGATTACAAAACAATCCGAATTTACTTATATTTAATATAACTCAACTCTAAAACGCAAACACAATTTGCGAGTTCATCCCATTATAAAAAGATAGCTAAACAAGTTTATGCACAATTAGCATGGCTGCTGCGTAGCTTTATCTTGTCCTTATGCGACCATAGCACATCCGGAAACTTTCTTTATAGTTCTTACAAGGTATACTATCTCGGCAACCGTGCACTCTACATTATTTGTACTAGAATCCGGATTGAAAAATTCACTGAAATGAAACGTCCTTCGTAGGCTCTTGAGCAACATTTATTAGTTTTAGTTAGCAATATATTAGTGCATGTTTTAAAACACATACAATCGCAAATTAAAGCTTTTTGGCAATGTATCAAATGCAGATTTAGTTTAAGGCTCTAAATAAGAAGTTAAAAATAGGATCACCTTTTTGTGAAGACTATTTTATATCCAACGTGCAGTGGGTGATCGGTCTCATAAAATGTTCGCCGAAATTCTAAAATGCGTTTTCGATTTAAAAAGATTTATTAGATGGGGTTGCCATGCTAATTATCACATAGCATACTCTTATAGTCCTTCGGCCTCCTCGGGATGTTAGCCTCTTTTCGACCCCCTGCAAAAACTGAACCTTAAAAGAAATGCCTGCTGGGAAGTATGCATTTTCCACACTGAATTTCCGCGGCCCTGTAAATTCGAGTATATTTTGTGGAAAATATGTGCGAACTAATGCTTTAATTTACTTACTTGGTGAAAAGTTAAATGGCCTTCATATTTTGTACCAAAAGAGAGAAAAACTTTTGGTTTTGCAAAAGCTTACGGTAACGAGTTCTTAAGATTATGCAATATCCATTCATTTAGCATTGCACTTGCGCATTTACCAATGATCATCAAGAAGTTTTCGACATAGTCCACATCCATGGATAACTTTTGTGAACTCAACATAATATCTTCATAAGGGCATGGCGGACTATATAATTATTACTTCGCGGAAAGTGCATACCTTTTTAACTGAGATCGCGTAACTGTAATGCAACGGCCGATCTGGTCACAAATATTCGAGAAATATAAATAGCTCTCACAATCCACATACACCTGTATCCGAGTAAAAATGTGAGTGCAGAATAATTTGCTATCTAATGAGTGGAATTAAGCATATTTTTGCACATATCTTCCTTAAAATTCATTTGAATTTATAAGCCCGTGTAAATGCAGTGTAAAAATGCATACTACCCCAGTAGTCGTTTTCCATTATGTGCAGGTTCTACAGGAGGTCCAAAAGAAACCAACAGCATCTCAAAGCCGAAGTGCTATGGGATTACGCCACCTAATAATTAACACTATAACCCATAGCTGAGGAATATTTCCAAATCGAAATTAAATTTCACTCGTTGCACGCGGCGACCTAATCGTAGGGTAGTTTTTAGTTTTTAAAAGCCCCGAAAATTTTACTTTTCCGTTAAAAATTGCTCGACCGACTAACATGAGTTGCATTTTATTTAATATAACAAACGTCTTGCCTATGCTTAATTTAATTTTCTCATACTACTTCAATTCTCCTCCCTATTTGCGCCCGTCACTCAAAGCACAGTTCAGTAAGTGGGCTCTGTGGACACTCTGAAGTTCGCATAGGCGTCCAGACACTGGCTCTAAGTCTAAGTGATTGGACGGGAACAGACCATTAGTCTGCCGGGCTTATGACCTTCGTGTTCGGACGATCGCATCCAATCAACGCTTGTAAAGCGCAAACCTGGAGGCTGACGCAGAGTATATGAATCAGCCGGTAGCCCGGCTGTCGCATTGCACACTGTTTGCGCGTCGCGGCCAAAACGTTGCGTCCTTGATTCTGGCAATTTACTTCCATAAGTTCGCCATACGGTCGGCGAATGAACGTTTCGCTGCTCCGCGAGTCACCAGCACCAAACAAAATGGGTTGCGAAATGAGTGATCTCTGTCAAACGTGGCTATCTAAACGGTATTTGGGCAGCAGAGGCATCGTCTGTGCGCTACCTGGAGAAGCGAGAACGCGGAGGATGACTTCCATTAGTGGTGCATTCCAGTCCAGTCTACCGGACACACCCACAACGGACAGTAATAAGAGCAGCTATGCGGTGGACATCGGGGGCCCACGACAGAGGCATAGCACTGACCGCGGTTCCTTTGAGACAGCTCCACTATCCCATCACAGCTCACTCATTCCACGCGTCTTCTCCAGGCGTCGCACGGTGGATGATCTGAATCGAATTGTCCTCCAAAAAATTCCCCTCAGTGATTACTTTAGTGAATTTGAGAAGGATGTCCTTCTCTCTACTTGGGCAGTGCTAAGTGAAGAGGCAGACAGGCACACAACCGCCGTATTCAACTTAGCCTGCCAAATGTTTCCAGGATTAAGAATGCTTTTTGATATCCCGTAAGAGGTTTTCTCATGTTCCATTTGCATTTTACAGTTGATTTCAAATAGTAATAAATCGTTTGTAAGAGTGAATTTATCTCCTATTAGTTTTGTCGCATTATTCAAATTTATTTAGAAACTAATTTTGAAAGGAAACGGTTGCATGTATAAGGGTTCCATGGATATCCTATTGAGCTTTGTCACGGTAATGCAGCACAATTACTTTGTAGGAGGATGTAAGGGGAAAAGTTCTGCGTTAAAACAATTTGTTATTTTGTTGCCGGATGTTTTTGATTATAAAATATATGAAAACAGCATACAGCATGCACGTTTTTCATTACTTTGACGTAACTAAAATGTTTTGATCTCTTTTCACGTAGTCAGCTCTGGAAATTTAAGGGCAAAACAAAGGGCTGTTACGGATGGAAGAGTATGCCTTCATTTTTAGAGATACAGCCTCTACAATAACTTTTCACGACAAAATATTTAATTGTGTCGTTAGTCTGCATATTTCAATGGTATGATCACTTTTAATAACATAAAAAACACATAACTGCATGTGAGGCTTAAGTCAGTCTTTTTCTTTATAAACTGGCCAAAACTCCTCAACAGTTATCAAATGTGTTAAGATCTATTTTATCATAATCAATTTTGTATGGATGACTTAGTACAACTAGGTCCGTTGAGGACAAAATCGTAGCCATTGGCCCTTAGCTGCGTACACAAGAGTCCTCGGAAATGCCAGTATTATATCGATTATAACGAACGGCATACTCCAACAAGCCACGAAACAAACCAAATTATTTGTAATAAAACATATCTCCTAAGAAGTGGGTCCCAAATAATCAAATCCAGTTTCAGATAAACTGCTGTTAATAAAAGAAACATAGAGATGCTGATTAGCTCATGCCTATATTAGTAAGTTGCGGTGACTACGAGTTAAAATCATACCCATTATTTTAGAACTAAATCAAAAGAGCGCTATGTGGCATTTGGCATCACTCTTAAACGAGTCATGTGAAAGTTTGCTGTTTTGTCGCAACATTCTGCCTCGTTAAGCAAGCACTCATTTGAAAATTTTAGTTGCCCAACTGAAGAGAAAGAGAGCTGCGAGAGTGAGGCAGCCAGACGACATCGCGCGGCCTACATGAATATGATTAACGACGCAATTGACTGTTTGGAATATCCCCGAGAAGATTTCTATGATGATCTGCTTGTCGCCGGAGCGCACTATGCAACTATTCCGGGAATGAAAACTGAATACTTTAAGGTAAACATAAGGGGTTTAAGTGCAAACTTAATATTATTTTCGATCATAAAACTAGCAAAATGCACATCTAGATATTTGCCACATCCCGTATTTTAATTCCGAATAACTGCAAAGCAGGAAACTATAAGCCCACTATTGTTATAAGCAGAGTAGAGACTGAAAAACGCCCTGCAACAGCACAAACCTAACATCTGGTATCTGAGATAATATCTCCGTTTCACGCAGCGTTGAAAAACAGATGAAAATAAAGCATCGAAGCCACTGCACTACACAGGTTAAGCAACTCTATCTCATTCGGTATAAAACCTGCAACCTACTTAGTAGACCCAAAAATGCTTTCGAAAATGCATCATTTCTACGAAATAATTAAATCACTCGGTGTATGCGGTGCTTGCCTCCAATTGAGATTTTTAATTCAAAACTTTGTTAAGCACAAGTATGTCACATTATATAGAACATTTTGCAAAAATATCAATATAAGGACATTTTCTTCGACAAAGGGGACAGTTTGTATGACTGCATGTCGAACATGGTACACGTTTTAGTAAAAAATCTAAAATATTCGTTTGCGAGGAGTCTAAACTTTAAAATGGAGGAAAGGGTTCGCATTAAGGTTTTTGCTTACGCAATTACTTTGCCTAAAATTGAAAATTCTTCGCATTTTAAATAAATATATTTTAACACATCCTTAGAGGTTGCTCTTCCTGGTTGATAGGTTAAAATTACTGAGGATAGGCTTCATTCGTATCGTACACCTGGAAGATGCTGGTTGACTCTTACTGCATTTTATGAAACGGTTACAGCACACTTTATTTCACTTCACTCATAGGTCATTAAGAGAGCCACTCTTGTCACGTGGAATAGCCTCCTGGGCGAGGAGTTCACTGAGGACGTAAAGGAATCCTGGCAGTCATTGCTCGATTATATTATTACTGTAATATCTGAGGGCTGTCGTATCTATGAACGGGAGGAAGAACGCGCCCTGCTTGACGCCACGCCGGACCTGAACGAGACCCTTCTGCGAACGCTGCGGGCACGACCCAGCGTGGTCAGCATGACCGAGGAAGAATGGAAATTATTCCATTCGTTATGCAGATGATGTGTTACCACATGCACCCGTATTCAGTTTACCCTCCTCTAACTGATTACGAGCTTGCTCGACTGCGTTCCTTGATGATTTTTGTATTTTTCACGCTCCCTGTAATCATGAAACCTGTACATTTACCATTGACGTCTCTTAACTGCCCCTTTTTAAGTTTTGTGGGACCTGACCTCATGCTGATGCATGTGTTAAGCTTTTAAACAAAAGGATATACTGACAGTAACATTTTGCAACATAATTCACAGGCCTTAGTTTCAGAGCAGCTGAGAACGCTTAGAGTGAACCCTGGTGACGGTGTTTTCTGTTCTTCGGTGGGCCTGATGGCAGCATCTCACATGCACGCAAATTATGCATGTAGAAGACTGTAGTTAAAAATTGGGTTGAACCCGCCTGGGCTGATAAACATATCAGTTGTCGTCTCCAGCAGTTCATGCCGACGTAGATGACGTCAAATAACTTCTATCTAACGTAAGTCAGATTTTCGGATGCATGTCGCCAAAATTCGTTTGCGCACATGGGGAAAATAAACAGGCAAATTCAGCGGGGTTGAAATAATGAAAGATGCAGGACTTTACAGTGTTACCGCGTTTTGCTATCTCTGAGACATAACAAACCTATCTAACATTGTATGTCGTCTAAACCCTCAGTGCGCTTCGCTGTCCTAGACTGTTTCAGATTTCCTTAAGCGCACCTATGCCAGTTCGCTAACGTCAGTCAGACCTATAGTCATTTGCTACATGGCCGTATTTGACAAATTGAAAAGCCCTACGGACAGTTGGATGTATAACCCCCACACAACTCCCACTAGAACTAGTTAAAATAAATATGCATGACATAATAACTTGGGCATTTTTTAACGTCGAGATTTAAAACCGCATATGGGCTTCTACTTCAACTTACCCTTTCCTTTGTCCCGTCTTTTGCCCAAACATGAAACGGGAAGCCAAAATTATTTCTTTTAGTTTTTGGATTGCAGTCTTGATTGAACATCTGATTGGCGGTCCACGTTTTGCAGTCATAAACTTAAAGCACCACCCTTCCAGCTGGCAACCTGCTGATGAGCCTTCCTTTGTAGCTAAGAAACATGCATAGTTTTCAAAGCAGCAACATCAAAAGTGTCAAAAAACGTTGTCCAAGTAAGTGTCCAGGGTGCAGTTGCAGCCATGGCATTAAAAAATTAAAGTATATAAAGAGATTAAGAAGGCATCATGAATGCTAATTATTTTTAAAATCGAAAGGTTTTAATATATCAACCGACGTACAAAAGGATCCAACTTTGAGTTGGCTCCCCTCAATTTACACATACGCCTTGCTCAATGGTATTTTAAGTAACTAGTCTGTGCAAAGACAAAACGATTCGGAAGACAGTGGAATTGTGGCTAAAATGTGGAGGGTTTTAACCACGCTTAGTTATGCTTAATTTCAATCTCGATTTTTTACCTTAAATGCCTACTTATTGCGGACAGGTTATTTGCGAATACAATTAGTAGAAACGGATATTTGGCAATGCAATGCCGAGCCAAGCACGTACTATGCGCCGTAAGTGACCTAAGTCATGAAACTTGACGATGGAATTTTCGGACGCCTTAAACGTTGTGCACTTTGCTCACGCATTCGACCTTCTTAAGCAAATGTTTTTTGTGCAAAGAAAATCTATCCCCGTAATGTTATTAAGCTAAATGTTCATAAATGGTAGCAAAATAGGACGTCACGCTAAGGTTTGATAATCTCACATGCAGATACCTGCCCTAGACGTCGAATGCGCAGCTAAGCATGCTTATCTTTAGGGGGAGAGTAATTTAATCTTGAGAATTCTACTAGTAAAAGTTTGCCGCACTTTAAAATTGATTTTGTCGTCCGATGTTAACCGTAGGAACACAGGTTATTTTTAGGGAACTATTTTTTTAAATTTGTTTTTGAAGGCGAGATTAGCAAATCTGTGCGATTTCATGTCCCGAAGTGCAACAATAACGCACACAGCAAAACATCAGTTTTAGATGGTTATTCTGTCGTATATTCATGACCATAGAGCGAGTTCAACAACTGAGCAAAAATAACAGCAATGGCCACATTATAAAGGATGAGGCTTGTTTTGCTTTTGAGGTGTATAAATGTACTAAATTTTTCTGAAACATATGAAAAGAGAAACTTTTCAGATTTTTGTTGGTTTGACCTTGCAAAGATACAAAGCATACAGATATCCGTCAATGGAATGTGGTACTAAGGTACTGTTTGAAGTGGTAACCTATTAGAGAATGTTGTATAATCGATCAATAGCATATTTGTCGTTTGTTTTGTTGTGGAAGTTTATTTTGTTTGCTTTATTTTCAAATGTGAATCACCTAATCATCTGCATGAAAATGAACCCCACGATACTCACAACTTCGTTTAATGTCTTTAAAAAGAAGCTTGATTTAGAGGTCTTAGCAAATACATAATATCTAATTTGTGTTTATGAGCAACCAGACCAAGTGACTATAAATTATGAAGTATTTAGCTATATTTTGAGGCCCATCTGACAGTCAACGTGAGGCAGAATAAAGAAAAGTGCAAACTAATTTCACGAAAGAGAGGTTATCTTTATACACGCAAAATGAGGTGTTAACGGTTAAATCTGTCAAATCTATCTACATTTGTTGATCGCCAACCTTTCTGTTAGCATCTGCTCTTATAAAATCCTTAACTCTTATGACGACTCTATCGGCAAAACTAAACTAAATCAAGATTTTTTCATAGAACCGCATCGCATACAATGTAGAAGTGTGGAACGCACAGAGAATTCTCAGAAAAGCATTTTGGCATTGACACTCGGAATTTAGCCTGTTGGCAAAACGCTACATCGGAATAAACACTAGTTCTTAAAGGGTAGTTAAATGGAAAATTTACCAAAAGATTGTTTTTAGAAGTACTTCTGCTTGTGGTTTCATATGTACCCAGTGTTTTGCATGAACAGACGTTCTGAGCATTTAAAACTGCGCATTCAAAATTAACACAACTAAAACCGCGTTTGACGTTTTCGGGATTCTCGGCTTTGCTAAAAAGTTTGTATTTCTTAAAAACGTGATATTACCTTAAAATTTCTTCTATGTTGTAAATCTCTATAATATATTGTATTCATTCATTGGTGTCGTTTTGCAAGTGATTAGCAGTCCGTCTCAAATATCGGAACCTTTTATTTGTGAGTTCACGTACTGTGCTTTTTATAAAAATATATAGCTTGAATTAGACGCAATAACAGAAACACGACATTTACTAATTTATTTTACTTGCGTGGTAAAATACAATTATCCGGTTTATTCCGGAGACTTGGGAAGAAACCTATGAAGCCTAGGCAGCTGTCGCAACGATAAATTTCCGGATTCAGAACAGAATGCATAAATGCAATCATTTTTGCCCTTCTGCGCTCCACATCGAGATGTGTAGACAGTGCGCAAGATCAGTATTTAGACCTTTTAATGGCGCAGATTTTCTCCAAGCAGGATATCTAGGCAAAGTTTCGCTTGTCCAGAGGCGAACGTCCCCGATTATGATGATGGAAAATACATTCGATGAGTAAAGGTGGTTATTTGATGACGATTATAAAGTAACACAAAGAGCAATGTTTGACGGGATCTAAGGACCTCAATTACAATTCGATCCATAAAACCCAATTTATACTTAAATATTTGACCGAAAACAGACATAATGGTTAGTCAATTTAGTGAACATGAAAAGAAACGTTGATATAGATGTTACGTTGGCTACAGTCGATTTCTTTCAAAATATTAGAACATCCTCACGCAAAAAAGTTGTGTCCAGCAGCTGTACTCAATCCATGAAAACATCTAATGCTAGTCTCTGCAAGTAACTGAGTAAAAATAAGGTATAAGAAAACGAACGCTAGGGAATGCTTTTCATTAACATAAAACAAATGGGTATAGTTTGAGTCTAAGCTGCAAATTGTCAAAATAATGGACGGGAGTTCCCAATCAATAGTTAACAATTCTTGCTTAAAACATGACAAAAGAGAAGCCCTAAAAGTAATATTAGGCGATTGAGCAATAACAATTGTCTTTAATAAAACAAAATGCCGAAAAATTAAAAATGTATGATAAAACAGTAAGCTAGGCTTGTAGAAATATACAAAACTCATTCACGCAAGCCTACGAGGAAATAAAACGACGTAAACAGAAGGAGTCTAGAGAAATTTCTTTTTTAAACTTATTTAAAGGCCGATTTTTTTCGGGAATCAGTATAATGTTAACATGACAGTCTGTCAACTTGTGCATGTTTATCGTTGACTCACGAGGATTCGATAGGGATGTTCGACATTGCATTGCTCAGGATGCGCTTAATTTAAGCAAAGAGTAGTCTGTCGAATTTTGCCAACAGGAACATTACAGATTTGAAAGCTCGTAAAATCACATGTCCAGAATACGGCCAGCGACTATAGGTTCTGAATGTGATTAACAGATTCAGTCGTGCGCACAACACTTTCCGTCGGTCAAAAGAATCTTTCTTTCGTAAAATTGCTGTTAAGTTAGCGACGCCGCGGTAAGCTCGTTTGAAGCCTGTCCTTGAAATGCCAGGGCATAATCTTTGGCCTTTAATGTCCTTAAATAACTGTCCAAAAATAGAGCCTGTGATTTGTCTCTTGAAAATAACCATCCTGGTAATAAGTTACTCAGCGTTCTTTTTATGCATAGGGACAGATAGGTTGGGGTTGTGGGCTCACCGAGATCAAAAAAAGTAAGTTTACAAATAATGACCGTTAATAATATGTTTTTATCATTCGTTGAACTTTATTTGATATGTTATATCTTTAAAAATCGCTTGATTAAGCTGCCTTATTGGCAGTTGTAACCTTACTTTATCGTTCTCCAAGGAAAAGTTGAAAAGAAGCAGGAAATTTAGAGTGCCTATGAACCTCCCCTAAAATATTTAAACAGGATCTGCTACAAAGAGTGAAATATTTCCTTTTATTTTAGTGATTTTGGTTATCATTTCCTGGGCGCAAC